TGGCCTGCACTGCAACTGGTGCCCAGTGCTATCCTGGGGAGATCTGTCCATCTGTCACTAAATATGAGCAGTGTATAGGGAAGAACAGCATCTCACCAAGGCCTGAATGAAATATCACTCAAAACCAGCCCTTCCCTCTCTGAATTTCCCATTAAACAATGGTAATGACGTGTGTGTGTGTGTGTGTGTGTGTGTGTGTTAGTCTCACTCTGTCCCCCAGGCTGAAGTGCAGTGGCACACTCATAGCTACCACAGCCTTAACCTGCTAGGCTTAGGTGATCCTTCCACCTCAGCCTTCCAAGTAGCTAGAACCACAGGTGGGCAACACTATGCCTAGATAATGCTTTTATTTATTGTAGAGACGAGGTCTCACCATGTTGCCCAGGCTGATCTCAAACCTCTGGACTCTGACAATCCTCTCACCTCTGCCTCCCAAAGCGCTGGGATTACAGGCATGAGCCACCGCTCTCGGCCCCTTTCTCTCTCTGTCTCTCTTTCTCTAAAGAGATGGGGTCTCTCTGGGTCACCCAGGCTAGACTGCAGTGGCATGATCATAGCTCACTGCAACCTCAAACTACTAGGCTCAAGCGATCCTCCCACCTCAGATTGGGGTAATAGGCACATGGCACCACGCCCTGCTGTGACCCTTTTCTTGACTTACAAGAGGTGAGGAACACAAAACAAAATGGCTCAAATTATAGTGAGTTCCTTTGTTTTGTTTTAAGCTCACCCTCTTTCTCCTCCGCCATGAGACTGCTTCAACCTTCCCCAATTAACCACATCCTGCTTGACAAAAAGCCCAGATAAGCTGTTCTGTAACTGCTCCAGGTAAACTGTTACTGTTCTGTAACCCAAACTTCCTGTTTGCACCCCACCCGACTCTGATGAAATGGCAGTTTTTGCCTTTATAAACCCCTTGCTTGCTTCATTCGGGGTCGAGAGTCTCTTTTTTGGCTTGAGCCTGCTCTCACTCACCAGCCATAAAGGACTCAATATTTGACTCTCAGTGTATTGGCAACTCCTTACTCGAGGTGCCGCTACAACAATGTGACCAGAGTGGTAGGAAAAGAGGAAACAAAATGACCAGAGTGGCAGGAAAAGAGGTTTTTTTTTGAGTAGGAGCCTAGGCTGGAGTGCTGTGGCACGCTCATGGCCACCACAGCCTTGACCTGCTGGGCTCAGGCGATCGTTCCGTCTCAGCTTTCCAAGTTGAGGAAACTTGGAGACTATAGGCGTGCACTACCACGCATGGTTTATTTTTTGATTTATTATAGAGATGAGTTCTCACCAAGTTGCCCAGGCTGGTCTCAAACCACTGAGCTCAGGCAATCCTCTCGCCTTGGCCTCCCAAAGTGCTGGGATTACAGGCTTGAGCTCTTTTCCCATCAGGAAAAGAGGTTATTTATACTTTCACATGCTGGATCTTTTGCTATTTCCACCAAGAAGAATGCTTTCTCAGAGAATCATGGTTTCTTCTTGAATTATTAAGAACAAAGTTCCTCCTGGAATATCCATGCAATGTTAAAACCAAAGTTCCAAGTGTGGAGATTTCCTCTAGGAAGCACGTAAAACAGAATATGTTTACTGTGGGAAATTACATTTGTTTTAAAGTTTGTGCCATGTAGTAAGTGTTTAGCAGGTGATGGGGCGCCTTTATTTTTTTACTTTTAATTTTTTTGAGTTGGAGTCTCACTCTGTTGCTCAAACTGGAAGTGCAGTGGCCACTCCCGGGCACCGCAGCCTCGACCCACTGGGCTCCAGCGATCCTTCCGCCTCAGCCTTCCAAGTAGCTGGAACTACAGGTGCGCACTACCACGCCCGGCTAATTTTTCATTTAATATAGAGATGAGGTCTCGCCAAGTTGCCCAGGCAGGTCTCGAGCCCGCAGGCTCAGGCAATCCACTCACCTCAGCCTCCCAAAGGCGCGGGATTACAGGCTGAGCCACTGAGCCCGGCTATTTTTTTATTTTTTGAGTTGGAGTCTCACTCTTGTAGCCCAGGCTAGAGTGCAGTGGCATGCTCATGACCACCACAGCCTCGACATGCTGGGCTTTGGTGATTCTTCTGCCTCAGCCTTCCAAGCAGCTGGAACTACACATGCATGCCACCACACCCAGTTAGTTTTTGTGATTTCTGTTGTAGAGATGAGGGCTCACCAAGTTGCCAGGCTGGTCTCAAACCCTCGGGCTCAGGCAATCCTCTTGCCTCGGTCTCCCAAAGTGCTGGAATTACAGGCTGAGCCACCGCACCCAGTGGGGAGCCTTTCTTTAAAGAAGGAGAAGTACAAAATGCCCCAGGACTTAGTAGTAAGCATTGAGGTTCTAGAGTCACACTGCAGAGGTTCAAATCATACCTTGAGAGGGACCCCTGGATCTAATGTTTATCTTTGTTGGCTGTGCAAGTGAAATAAAAATGAAGTTTCCAGAAGATCTAACCTAGACAGCATGCACTCCAATTTCTTCAACACTAGTCTCTGCCTGCACTCCTTGCAAGGACCCCCAGTCCAATCCTCACATAATAGCAAAGCAATATCCTCATGCTGGAAATTGGATCACATTACATTTTTACTTAAAAAGCCTTCAATGACAACAATGACAAAAACTACCATCTAGTGAGCATTTAGCACTTTTCATCAGGGACTTTTGAAAGTACTTTAGTGGCCAGGAGTGATAGTTCATGCATGTAATCCCTGCTCTTTGGGAGGTGGATGTGAGAGGATTGCCTGAACAACTTGGTGAGACCTAATCTCTATAATAAATAAAAAAATTTGGCCTGGCGTGCTGGCATGTGCCTGTGGTCCCAGCTACTTGGAAGGTTGAGGCGGAAGGATTACCTGAACCCAAGAGGTCAAGGCTGCGGTGGCCAGGAGCGGCCACTGCACTTCAGTCTGGGTGACAGAGTGAGACTCCAACTCAAAAAAAAAATCATATAGAAAGTGAGGGAAGCAGAGATTTGAACCTCCACAGTCTGACTCTACAATCCAAATGCTTACTACTAAGTCCCAGGGGCATGAAATGCTTCTACTCCTTAAAGAAAGGCTTCCCATCACCTGTTGAACATTTATTACATAGCACAAACTTTAAAACAAATATTCCCATCTAATTCCTCAACAACTTACCAGGAACCACCATTACAAGTAAGGCAGCAGCACAGCTCAAGAGTCCCCTGGCCAGAGAGGCACAGAACCCAACAGCGGCACTTGCCAGAGACCAGGTTTGCCCGCCTGCACAGCTCCTGATCTTCTGGTGATCCTTGCATACCCTCCAACCCTGCAGCCCCACCCACTGCCCGACTCTGCACACACCAAAACCAAGAAAGGACTGATCACACGGGCAGGACACATTGCCCGCAGGCGGGAACTGCAGGAGTGATTACAGAGCGCAGGACCTGGGAAGTGGACAGAGGGCCCAGCACCGATTCCACATCAGTCGCTACAGAGAAGACCTAGGAGTGAGCCACTCACAGACAACAGATGAGGAAACAAAAACTAGCAGCAGGAAGTAGAAGCCTGGTGAGTGCTGGCTGGGAATTACGAGGTAGTGGTAGCAACTGTAGTGCGTATGGGAGGGGTGGCATGGCGTGGTGGGGTGTGCCTGTGGTCCCAGCTACTTGGGAGGCTGAGGCGGAAAGATTGCCTGAGCCCAGGAGAAGAGGGATACATTCCGGACAGCAAGCTAGAAGTCTATTTTCTAGCCACAGGCACACGGGAGGTATTAAACATCTGCTGCGTAAATGAATGCCTGAGAATACAAAATCTAACATCTTTCATCTTTACAGCCTATTTACAAAGACGCTTAAGCTTAGTTAATGTGTGTTAAAAAACTACTGGGCCGGGCTCGGTGGCTCAGCCTGTAATCCCGCGCCTTTGGGAGGCTGCGGTGAGTGGACTGCCTGAGCCCGCGGGTTCGAGACCCGCCTGGGCAGCGAGACCTCATTTTTACAATAAAAAAAAAATCAGCCGGGCGTGGTAGTGCATGCCTGTAATTCCGGCTACTCGGAAGGCTGAGGCGGAAGGATTGCCGGAGCCCAGCAGGTCGAGGCTGCGGTCTGGCCGGGAGCGGCCACTGCACTCCAGTCTGGGCGACAGAGTGAGACTCCAACTCAAAAAAAAAAAAAAACAAAACCAAAAACTACTGGGCAAGCTCTCACTTCATACAGGTGAACTCAGCTCACAAAGGCTAGAAAGGACTCATAATACTCGAGGGTCTGGAGGAAGTTTGGGGCACACAGTTACAAATCACCTCCACAGCTCCTCGTCCAGCTCCAGAACGTTCTTCTCGAAAAATCGGGGCGCGACCGCCGCCAGGAAATGCCAACCTCCAGCCCATCCCACCTGTTTTTCTACCCATGCCCGAGGCCAACTCCGTCGGCACTTAAAGCGCACGCAGCCCCGCAGCTCGGCTCTACGTGGCCTCGGGCAAGTCACTCTACCTCTTCAGGCCTCGAGCTCCTCACCTGCAAAATGGGGGCGACATTAACAACTAAGAGACAGCAGGACAGTGAAAAGAGCGGAGGAGGCATCACGCCTATGAAAGGGCTGGGAAAACAACGCGCCGCACCAAGCGGGGCGACCGGGCGCGGGATTTGGTTCTCTCAGCTTCGGCGGCGTCTGAGCAAGTCACTTCCCCGCTAAACTTCAGCCTCCTCAACTCCAGGATGGGTGGGGATGAGGCAGCGCTGAGATCACGGAGGAGCAAGCCGAGGTAGGAGAGGGGGCTGCGCCACCGAGACACCGGACCGCGGAGCCCCATGGGACACCACGCCCCCCGCCGCGGCCCCACGGCCTCCCCCGGCCAGCCGGAGGGACGGCGTTTACAGCCAGTGGGCGGGCGACCGGGCCGCTAGGCCCGCGACGGCGACGGCCCGGCCAATGGGGAGCGCGGCCGCGACAGGGGGCGGCGCACACGGTCCTCCGCGTCGCGCCCCGGCAGCTCCCTCCTCCGCTTCGAGCTCCGTTAGGCCGCGGACCCTGAACCCCCAAGGAGGAAAAGGCTGCTTACCGTCCCTTCGCCGCCGTCCCGCGCTTCCTGATGAGCTCGTCCAAGGAGATGTCCGCCATCTTGCGCCGCCGCGCGAGCCGAAAGCAACTAAGACTCCCCCAACCCGCGAGTCCGCCCCTTGGCCCGCTACGGAACGACGAAGAGCTTCCGGCGTTCGGCCGACCAGCTCTCGCGAGAACTCAAAATAGGCGAGGACCGGAAGGGGTAGTGCTGCTCCCCGTGAGCCTTCGCGGCGCCGCCTGCTAATCTGCATACGGCAGGTCGGAGCGAGATTGGTCTTTTTTTTTCCCTCCGACAACAAATAAAAGTAAAAGTGACAAAGTAAAATTGTTAACGAGTAAGACAAATTTCCAGGGAACTGGGTTGTCAACTCAACCGTCAACCATGGTGCTCACCGTATTGGAAATGAGATTAGGATTGCTTACCTAGGGATTAAGCGGTAGGTGTCTTTATGCCTTAAACTTATGAGTAAGGAAAATAACGATTCGGGGTGACGCCCGAATCCTCACTGCTAATGTGAGACGAATTTTTGAGCGGGTAAAGGTTGCCCCTAAGGTGACCCGCCTACTTTGCGGGATGCCTGGGAGTTGCGATCTGCCCGTCCCCCTTCTTTTTGAAAAAGCAGATTGTTTGGAAGCTCCTAGTTGGCTTCCAGGATCGGAAGGGAGGTTCCGTTGGACCAAATGAAGCTCTCCTTGCCAGCGTGATGGCCCGCCACGTCTCGCCGTGAGGCTAGCCTCACCGTGGCTTACGAGTCGCGCGGCTGTAGTCTGCTTTCTGAGAGGGCTCACCGTGTGGCCACTTCTTCGTGCTTCGGGGAAACATGCTCCACTCCGGAGGTGCCAGGTCATGGCCAGCTGGGTGCGGATTTTGTGGCTTCACGAAGGCTCTTGGGGGGCAGAGCCGGAGGACGGCCTGGCTCGCGTCCTGCCGGCGGCGAGTCGCATTACCCTGCCTCTGCCTTCCTGACGGGCAAGGCTGGGGCAAGTGGTAGAAGTCGTTAGGAGAGTTTAATAGGCGAATTCATTAAAGTGTCCATTCCTTGCGATGTCTTTTTTGCAACTCCAGCCTCCAGCATGGAGCCAGCCCGGCACGAGGCAGGTGTTCAGCACATGTTTGTCGAATCACCCGGGAAAAATACACCCGGTGCCCTTGGGACAGGTGGAGTCGTGCCCCCCGCAGCGTGAAAGTCTGGCATCAGGCTCCGCGCAGGGACTGGGCAAAGAGCCGGGAAAGCCAGAAAGGCCTGGGACTGCTCGAGAGGAGGCGCAGAATCCGGGTCCCGCTTCCCGCTCGCGCCGCAGGCCTCTTTCCCTCACCTGTAGAACAGGATCATTAACCCTTTCCTCCCTCCCTGGGGTG